AACCTCTGCGGAAGACGGGTGTTAAAACGCTGCTGACAGGAACGCCTGAAACGTGTTTACAGTAGGAAAGACTTTCCTCCAAATGCACCGCCCGAGTCGATTCCAATTTATTTCCGCCCTGCGACTGTTATCGAAAGGCGAGGCGCGGCCGCGGCGGCGGAAGGAGGCCGAGCACCGGGAATCGTCGCCGCGTCCCCGCCGAGCCCAGCGCAGGGGCAGCGCCGTGCCTGCGCCACCGAGCGCCGCGTCCCCGGCCGAGGGAAACCATTTTTTAAGGAGGAGGGGATGGGCTTAGCTCGTCCTTAAGTCGTTCGCGCCGTTTCTCCAAAGCCGCTGTCCCAAGCGGAGCGCGGCCGGCCGGGAAACCGCGTTCCGACTCGCTCGTGCCTGCTGCAGCAACACGATACGGACGTGGTAACCGATAAGCTCCGGGTTCGGTTACCGCGTCCAAACGGGAGGCCGGCCTTGGCCTCCCCGGTCTCTGCGAGGGTCTGCCGAGTGAACAGGAGGCGGCGGTTGGTTTGCCTTAAGTTTTGATTTATGGGAGAAATCATCTGAATTCGCCGACACACCCTATTAACCGCTGATCGTTTAAATGCTACCTAAGGAAGGCAGAGTAGGGGAGGACGGTAGGGGTTCGGGAGGAGGAGGGGGCGAAGAAGTCTGACCATCCCCACGTTCTCCGGTCTCCGCGGGCGCAGGGAGGCTCAGCGCTGCCACCTGGCGGCTGCTTCTCCCCAGACTGGGAGCCCACCGGGCGCTGAGCCGACCCAGACTCCGGGTGGGTGTGCCTTGCCGGAGCCTGGCGAAAAGGAGCAGAAAAGCTCGAATTCAGGCTTCAGATCTACGTGACCCAGGCAGAAATACGTGTTCTGCTTGTGCTCGTGAGAAAATGGGAAGGAAAGGAAAAGGGAGTTTGGCATTGCTATAAAATGCTTGCTTAAGGCTACCAGGCGCTACTCAGCGGTTAGGAGGGGAGAAAAAGTGGTAAAAATCATTAGACATTCTTTGCCTCTTAGCTTATTCGAGGAGTGAAAATAAATCATGGATTTCATTTTGCCCCAGCCTCCTTATTTTGGTATTTTGTAAATAAGAGTCACTTCCATATGTTATTTTTCAATACAAACCCTGAAAGGGAAGTCCAGTTCTAATAAAATTTCATGAGCCCAAAAAGGTTGAAGTGGAAGTTGTATTTGCCTACTTGATTGAGAAGTAAATCAGCCTCCGTTGGAGGGTTCTTTTCCCTCAAGTGTGGAACTGAAAACCCTGGGCCTTTCAGTTGACAAAGTCCAATGACATCGAATTTCCCAGGGCTGCTTCCCAGCCTGCTAAAGTAACAAAGACGGGGGAGGGGGGAGGCTCCCTACCCCCTCCATTTCATTTGAACTGAATACTTGTCAGGTTAGACCAGCTCCCACAATCATGGTTTCTATAGCCAAGCCAAGGCAAAATCTTGCAAATCAGTGCAAATCCAGGAGATTTGTTAAACTAATTTCCCTTCAGTACCCCCACCCAATGCTATAGGAATATATTAAGCAGTGCGATAGAATCCTATTTCCATCTATACCCCATACCATTATATGGATGTGAGAGTTCATGTCATACAGGTGTGTGAGAGCAGAAGAAATGAATTAAGAGATATTACACCCCAAACAATTCCATTATTTAATGGAAAATAAGATAATTTACCTTCATTCAAAATTTGAAATGTCTAACATCAGGGCCAATAAAGACAATTAGTTTATTATTCTAAAACAGGATTTTTTTTTTTTTTTGCAAAATTATCTTGGTTTGCTGTTAATATGGCTTAAAGAGTAACATTAAGAATTACTTCATGTACTGCAAAGCCAGCAGAGGGAACAGTGAGTACTGATTTAGGGGCCACCAAATATCTGGTATTTGGGGAAAAAAATGTCAGTAACAAAGAACTGGTTACAAAGCGTATGAAGTTAGGTAATGAGAACAGAGAAATCTTTTCTCATTACTTGGTATTCAGAGGCCAAATACATTCCAGCATGCGTATGGTTGCTGAGTTGCTGAGAAAGATGGACTTTAATATAAGCCATTTGTCAGATGTTTTCTTACATTTGAGAAGAAATACTCACATAGAAGAACAAACCTGCTTTAAGAGCCCAAGCATTCATACATACTATAATCATAAAGCCAGGGAAAATTACTAATACCATATTTCTTCAGTTCTAAGCACCTGTCCTCTTCATGTTCAACATCTCTGGCATAAGGAAAGGTCTTACAACCAGGGGCATCTCAATGTCTCACTGGCAGTTTTCCTTCCTTAGCCGCATGTAACAATGGTGTGTCTTAAAATCTACTGGATTTGTTAAAATACAGAAAATACATTTCACAATAGAAATAGGCCAGTGGTTATTTTTTTCATATCTACTTAAAAAAAAAAAAAAAGAAAGAAAAAAGAAAAACTGTGTGCAGGGCTCCTGGCTGGCTCAGTCTGTAGAGCCTGCAAAATTCTCTTGATCTTGACGTTGTGAGTTCGAGCCCCACACTGCGTGTAAAGATTACTTGAAAATAAAAATCTTAAAATAAATAAATAACTTGTGTGTTTTAAGCATAAACAAAATTACTAGGACTTCTTTGATGAAATCCCACTTTCCCCCATCATCTTCAGTGATGGAAGAAGCAAAGCTGGTTCTAAAAATGTACTCAGTTACACTGATGGTCACCTTGACTGACATCACAAACTAGCTACACACTCAAATCATGAGTTGGTACAAATTCCAAAGTAAATATTTATTTTATTAATAAGTATTTATTCTTTTATTATCCTAGTGAAGATACTGACTTTATAAAGAACAGACCCTTTAGAGTAACTTCTCCATCAGAGTTTAAGACTGTTCCGGCATCCTGGTGTGCACACCCAAGAAAATAAAATGCATGAGGACACACCCAACTTTGTTACATGCAAAAAAAGTTACCTGTGGGTTTCTGCTTGTTTGTTTAAGATTTGTTCCCCCACTCTAAAGGAAAAGTATCTAAGTTGGGTAGTTATTGGTCAAAAATTATTTGCCTTAACTCGCAAAAACATTCTTGCTTGTGGTTGATCCTTACAGATCCAGTCCCAGATGTCTCCAAAGGGTGTTCTTTTCAGTAAAATTCTAAATTTGACAACCTGGGCCTCTGGCCAGCCTACATACTTTAAAAGTTTGACAAGATGAATAGAAACCTGCTGCCTAGCACTAGTCTGATCTGAATCAAAAGCTCACTTAATTATGTCGGGTTGGCCCTTACCTAACCACCTATCTCTGGCCTGTAGAAAAACAGTTGACTATTATGGCATTAATAAAGACCAATTTTTACTAGAACTCTAATTTTCACACAGTGGAATAGAGGTAATTTTTGTGGCCAAATAAACATGTATTCTGATTACCTGGCAAATTCTCCACAATACTCTTCCCCAGAGTTCCTTTTGTCTAAAATCTTGAAGACCACAGGCTTGCCACTGTTGTCCTTGTATGGCGCATATAACATGATCTGCGATTACTTCTTAAATGGCTCAGTCGGTAGAGCATACTACTCTTGATCTCAAGTACCTGAGTTCAAACCCCATGTTGGGTGTGGAGCTTACTTAAAAAAAAAAAAATCAGTGACCATCCTCAACTTGAGGCTCATGAACAATATGCTGATTCTACTAGAAGGAGTGTCTCTGGCATCTGAATTACCAAGAGAAAGATAATAGCATTCATGGAGGGTTTACAACACATCAAACTCACTGAACCCTCACAACAACCCTCCATAAAGTATCTCTTAGTGTTCCCATATCACAGATGAGGAGAACTGAGACTCAAGCATCTCTGCAGAGTACAAACCCAGTAAGAAGGACTAGCATCTAGGTCTAACATGAATCCAGAGGCGCCGGTGTCTCTTGCTACCAGTCACACCACAGCCGTCTTTCCCTTCGCCTTGGCCTTTTAGCTCAGTTTGATTCAAGTAGCATAGGAGGAATATATAGGAGAAAATATATAGAAAGGAAAGGAGTAAGAAGGGGCGGGGAGAAAGAGAGCGCAGAAATCTTTAATTTTGAAAATGGGAAAACAAATATTTAGAAAGTAAAAATGACCCCAACCCTTTATTCCATGTTACCATCCTATACGAAACTCTATGGAAATTCTCCCCTTGAGTTAAGTAGGCAACACTGTGTAATGTGTTCCAACGGAAAGCTCCTCTGTTTGGGCTATCCAGGATTTATAGGGGAGTTTAAATCATTAAATAAGCATAGTTAACCCCTGTTTGGTTAAGAGAGCAAGCAATTATTGCAAAAATTCCTCTTCTCTGCCTTCCACAAACAGCACAAAAATTGCTCTGAAGGGATTTACACAATACATCAACATCTGTGCTGTACCTAGAGCTGTTAAAATAATTGTGATGACAGGTGTCTAGGTACCACTTTCTTAATGGTTTTCAATAGCCATTGATTTATTGTTGTGGCTTTCCTTCCCCCTTTTACATCCTTGGCTTTATGAAGGATCCGAGGAACAGATTTTGCACTCGAGGCTGATTCTTTATTCCAGTACTGAAAAGAACTAATAAAAATAATCACTTGGCTTTTAAGCAGAAAGCTTCCATTTACAGTATTTCACCCTTACCCTCCCCCCAACTTCCAAGCCCCTTGTTATCTAACATAATGGTTAGAATACATTTCCGTCTCTCCCCTTAATAATTTCATGCATTAACATCCTCTTTACACACCACACGCGCGCGCGCGCACACACACACACACGCACACACACACAGCAAAAGGAAAAAAAGGCAGCAGAAATCTCAGCTGTACTTCTAGCCCTTTTAAAAAGTTTGCTCTGTAAATTGGAATGAGGTCAGATTTGGAGCTTCTCATTGCACGCGGAGATTATTATTGCATCGGGTTCCAAGCCAATGGGAAGGCCGGGGGAGGGGCTTGGCACGAGGAAGCGTTGGTTACAGCGGCTGATTGGCCGCGGCTAAGACTGTGAAAGGATAAAGAGGCGCGAGGCGGAATTGGGGTCTGCTCTAAGCTGCAGCAAGAGAAACTGTGTGAGGGGAAGAGGCCTGTTTCGCTCCGGGGTCTCTAGTTCTTGCACGCTCTTGAAGAGTCTGCATTAGAGGAACTCTGCCATTACCAGCTCCCTTCTTGCAGAAGGGAGGGGGAGACATACATTTATTCATGCCAGTCTGTTGCACGAAGGCTTTTTGGCTTCCTACCTTGCAACAAAATAATTGCACAAACTCCTTAGTGCCGATTCCGCCCACAGAGAGTCCTGGAGCCAGAGCCTTTTTTGCTTTGCATGGTAGGGAAGGGACTAAGTGATAGAGACTATGTCGCTTTCCTGAGCTCCTGAGAGCGCTCGTGAACTGGAACCAACTGCTTCAGGGGAAGGAAAAAAAAAAAAAAAAAAAAAAAAAAAAGACTTGCCTGGGAGGCGGCGAGAAACTTGCACTGGAAGCTTCAGCAGCCAGCATTCAAGAAACTCCTCTCCACTTTAGCACGGTCTCCAGACTCAGAGCCGAGAGACAGAGCAAACTGCGGCGCGGTGAGAGAGCGAGCGAGAGCGAGCAGCAGAGGGAGGGAGAGGAGACTCTCCAGCCTGGGAACTATAACTGCTCTGCAAGAGGCAGAGCGCTCCTTGCCCGCACCCTTTGGAGACTTTTCTCCCTGCGCCCAGCACCGCCCCGGCGAGTAGTGGAGGGGCCCGCACGGCCGCCGCGCGCGTCCTCCCGCTCGGCGTGTGCTTGGCCCGGGGAGCCGGGAGGGCCCGGCGATCGCGCCGCGGCGGCCGCCGCGAGGGTGTGAGCGCGCGTGGGCGCCCGCCGAGCCGGGGCCATGGTGCAGCAAACCAACAACGCCGAGAACACGGAAGCGCTGCTGGCCGGCGAGAGCTCGGACTCGGGCGCCGGCCTGGAGCTGGGCATCGCCTCCTCCCCCACGCCCGGCTCCACCGCGTCCACGGGCGGCAAGGCCGACGACCCGAGCTGGTGCAAGACGCCGAGCGGCCACATCAAGCGGCCCATGAACGCCTTCATGGTGTGGTCGCAGATCGAGCGGCGCAAGATCATGGAGCAGTCGCCCGACATGCACAACGCCGAGATCTCCAAGCGGCTGGGCAAACGCTGGAAGCTGCTCAAAGACAGCGACAAGATCCCCTTCATCCGGGAGGCGGAGCGGCTGCGCCTCAAGCACATGGCTGACTACCCCGACTACAAGTACCGGCCCAGGAAGAAGGTGAAGTCCGGGAACGCCAGCTCCGGCGCCTCGGCCGCCGCCTCCTCCAAGCCGGGGGAGAAGGGCGACAAGGTCGGTGGCGGGGGCGGCCACGGGGGCGGCGGCGGGGGCGGGAGCGGCAACGCGGGGGGCGGCGGCGCGGGCGGCGGCGGCGCCAACTCCAAACCCGCGCAGAAAAAGAGCTGCGGCTCCAAAGTGGCGGGCGGCGCGGGCGGCGGGGTCAGCAAACCGCACGCCAAGCTCATCCTGGCGGGCGGCGGCGGGAAGGCGGCGGCCGCGGGCGCCGCGCCCTCCTTCGCGGCCGAGCAGGCCCTACTGCCCCTGGGCGCCGCCGCCGACCACCACTCGCTGTACAAGGCGCGGACTCCCAGCGCGGCGGCGGCGGCGGCGGCGGCGGCGGGCTCGGTCTCCGCGGCCGCCTCCGCCTCCTCGGCCGGCCTCGCGGCCCCAGGCAAACCCCTGGCCGACAAGAAGGTGAAACGCGTCTACCTGTTCGGCGGCCTGGGCGCGTCCTCCTCGCCCGCGGGTGGCGTGGGCGCGGGCGCCGACCCCAGCGACCCCCTGGGCCTGTACGAGGAGGGCGGCGCGGGCTGCTCGCCCGACGGGCCGAGCCTGAGCGGCCGCAGCAGCGCCGCCTCGTCGCCCGCCGCCGGCCGCTCGCCCGCCGACCACCGCAGTTACGCCAGCCTGCGCGCCGCCTCGCCCGCGCCGTCCAGCGCGCCCTCGCACGCGTCCTCGTCGGCCTCGTCCCACTCGTCCTCGTCCTCGTCGTCGGGCTCCTCGTCCTCCGACGACGAGTTCGAAGACGACCTGCTCGACCTGAACCCCAGCTCAAACTTTGAGAGCATGTCCCTGGGCAGCTTCAGCTCGTCGTCGGCGCTGGACCGGGACCTGGATTTTAACTTGGAGCCCGGCTCCGGCTCGCACTTCGAGTTCCCGGACTACTGCACGCCCGAGGTGAGCGAGATGATCTCGGGAGACTGGCTCGAGTCCAGCATCTCCAACCTGGTCTTCACCTACTGACGGGCGCGCGCGCGGGCTGGGAGAAGAGGGCCGGGGGCAAGAGAGGGAAGAAGAAAAAAAAGAAGAAGATTTAGACGAAGAAGAAGAAGAGAGAAAAGACAGAGAAAGAGTTGGAAGAGAAAAGAGGAAAAAAAAAAAAAAGAAAAGGAAAAAAAATGTGAGTGGGGCCGGCTTGCGAGGAGCGCGGCGGTGTTTTGGGGACCCGCGCTCCCATCCCCCACCTCCCCGGCCGCGGGGACGCGGAGGAGGCGGCGGGGAGACGAGGGGCGACCTTTTATTGTTGTTCTTGATGTTGTTGTTGATGGCAAAAAAAGCTACTTGGAGTTTCCTCCCCTCTGCCCGAAGAGACCCCCCCCCCCATTCCAACGAGCTTCCGGACTTGTCTGCTGCACCCCCAGCAAGAAGCCGACTTGGTAGTTTTTTCTAGAGACTGAAGGAATCTCGTCCCTTTTTTCATCGCCCTCCCCCTTGCTGTTTTTGTTTTATTTTATCTCATTTCTTGGTCAAGAGAGGAGGGGGAAAAAAAAAGAAAGAAAAGAAAGAAACCCAACGCGCCCCTGGGGATTGAGTTCTCAGCAGCCCCCGCCATCCCCTCCCCCCCAAGAAGACAGAAAGCTCCGGGCGTGGAATTGGACGGACGGCAGATTTTGGGGGGGGGGGTGTAGGCTCGAGCGCCGGGACAGAGAGACTCCACGCTGGCGGATTCCCGTTTTGTTGGGTTTTTCTTACTTTTTCCCTTCCTTTCCTCTTCCTTCCTTTTTTTTTTTTTTTTCTATTTTTTTTTTCCCTTGCACCCCACCGCCCCCCACCCTCGGAGCCGGAGGAGGAGATGCCGAGTGCCCGGAGAGCCCCGTGGGGAGCCCGGCGAGGGGCGCGGGGCGGGGCGCAGGGGGGGCCGCGGAGGAACTAGGACGGATTTGCACGTTCGGGGGCAGGTGGCGCGTCCTGGCGGCCCCCGCACCCCCGAAATCAGTGAGGTGAGACTCCGCGGCCCGCGGGCGTGCAGGAGAGCGGACTGTTTGATGTGGTGCCGGGGGCCGTGCAGGGGCGAGTGGTTTCGGGCGGGGGGGGAAAAAAGAGGTTTTTTTCTTCTCTTAAAATCGGAATCGTGATGGTGTTGGATTATTTCACTGGTGGGGTTAATATAGCATGTTATCCTGTCTATCTTTTAAAGATTTCTGTATAAGACTGTTGAGCAGTTTTTAAAATAGTGTAGGATAATATAAAAAGCAGATAGATGGCGCTATGTTTGATTCCTACAACAAAATTATCACCAGCTTTTTTTCATTCTTAACTCTTTAAAGGATTCAAACGCAACTCAAATCTGTGCTGGACTTTAAGAAAAAAAAAAAACAATTCAGGACCAAATTTTTTCTCAGTGTGTATGTGTTTATTCCTTATAGGTGTAAATGAGAAGACGTGTTTTTTTCCCTCACCGATGCTTCATCCTCGTATTTTTTTTTCCTTGTAAATGTAATCAGATGCCATTTTATATGTGGACGTATTTATACTGGCCAAACATTTTTTTTTCTTATTTTGTCCCTTTTTTACTTTAATCTTTGGTTTACTTTCTTTTCTTTCTTTTTTGACTTCCTTTATTTCTTCCTTCCTTTTTTTTTCTTTTGTTCTTTTTCTTTATTTTATTTTATTATTTTTTTTTTTTTTTTTTTGGTAGTTTGTTGATACCCACGCCATTTTACGTCTCCTTCACTGAAGGGCTAGAGTTTTAACTTTTAATTTTTTATATTTAAATGTAGACTTTTGACACTTTTAAAAAACAAAAAAAGACAAGAGAGATGAAAACGTTTGATTATTTTCTCAGTGTATTTTTGTAAAAAATATATAAAGGGGGTGTTAATCGGTGTAAATCGCTGTTTGGATTTCCTGATTTTATAATAGGGCGGCTGGTTAATATCTCACACAGTTTAAAAAATCAGCCCCTAATTTCTCCATGTTTACACTTCAATCTGCAGGCTTCTTAAAGTGACAGTATCCCTTAACCTGCCACCAGTGTCCACCCTTCGACCCCAGTCTTACAAAAAGGGGAGGAGAATTAGCCAAACACTGTTAGGCTTTTAAGAAAAGACAAATTTTTTAAATAAAATACCGTTCTGTCCAGAGGCTTTAAAACTGGTGCATTTACAGCAAAAAGGGATCCTGTAGCTTTAACTTGTAAACCACATCTTTTTTGCACTTTTTTTATAAGCAAAAACGTGCCGTTTAAACCACTGGATCTATCTAAATGCCGATTTGAGTTCGCGACACTATGTACTGCGTTTTTCATTCTTGTATTTGACTATTTAATCCTTTCTACTTGTCGCTAAATATAATTGTTTTAGTCTTATGGCATGATGATAGCATATGTGTTCAGGTTTATAGCTGTTGTGTTTAAAGATTGAAAAAAGTGGAAAACATCTTTGTACATTTAAGTCTGTATTATAATAAGCAAAAAGATTGTGTGTATGTATGTTTAATATAACATGACAGGCACTAGGACGTCTGCCTTTCTAAGGCAGTTCCGTTAAGGGTTTTTGTTTTTAAACTTTTTTTTGCCATCCATCCTGTGCAATATGCCGTGTAGAATATTTGTCTTAAAATTCAAGGCCACAAAAAAACAAAAAAACAAAAAAACAAAAAAAATGTTTGGGGGAAAAAAAAGAAAAAAGAAAAAATCATGCCAGCTAATCATGTCAAGTTCACTGCCTGTCAGATTGTTGATATATACCTTCTGTAAATAACTTTTTTTGAGAAGGAAATAAAATCAGCTGGAACTGAACCCTAAATCTCGACTTTTGTCATTATTCTATGCCCAGAGCCCGAGATTGGGAGGGCCCTCGTCCCGGGTGGATGCTCTCCCATCTGCTTTAGCTCTGAAACAGTAACTTCTCCAAGGGCAGCCTGTTCAATGCTATCTTCCTGAGGAATACCAAGTTCCTCTTGGCCAGATTTGGCCAGCTCTGACCCTGAAATGAGTATGTGTCAACTCTACATGCTTTCTAGGAATTTTCAGAGTTTACCACATTTAAATAAATGCCCTTTGTCTTGAAATTTTAAAAAGAGGGGGGAAGGGGCAGCACGGAGAGGGTTCTTTACAGATGAAAACTGGCCGGCTGATCTGCGTTTTAACCTCCTGTTCCTAAAACTGCTTTCTCCTTCCCCGGCCCCACAGTTAACTATCCAGCCGTGGCTAGAATCGCTTTACACGGATCAAGAACAAATAAGCCTTTTAAATGATCGATATATTGTGGAGGAGGAAGCCATCGCTAATTTCGAAATGGAGAAGTTGTATAAATTTTTTCCTCCGAAGCAGAAAGGTTCACCCGGTGCTAGAAGATCTCCATTTTGTGCCATGCCCATTCTGTGGGTTCTTAATGTGAGAGAAATGCAGTAATAGGGAGGACCTGGAGAAGTGGGATCCCTGAGGACCGACAGGAAATCCAGCCCCACCCCCCACCCCGGTTCAGTGAGAAGCACGCATTCAGCTAGGGGAGATTTATACGTTTTATATGCATCGGACACAGCTGTATTCCTGAGGCCTGTATGCATGGAGGAAAAAGGCCCATTAGGACTTGGTTTGGAACCTGCCTCTTGCTAAGTAGCGCAATTTCCTGTTTACTTGGAGGGTTAACTCTTGCCATTAACTAACAAAACCCATCTTCACGTCCAAACGTTTGTTAATTAAAGGTGTGTGCTCCCTACGTCTTCTAGTTTTTTAGCACTGGAGACAAGGGGTTAAGGAGCAGACGTGTTTGGAAATAATCTTTAACCCTCAGGACTGCTTGTAGGTAGGGGAGTATCCTGCATCCAAGGAGAAGAGATTTGGGGAGACTAGTACAAAACAAGCACATTTTTTTGCTCGAGGAAGAGCAGTAATCTCTACTTCCAGAATAGTGTAACTGCTGTGTTTCAGTATAAGTTCACCTCTTTAAAATTATTACAGCTGCTAGTTTCCAATTTTTTTCCTTGTATTTTGCTAACATAGTTTTAATTGCACTTGTGTTCTACAATGGTAAGAAGGTCTTAAGGTCTTTTAAGAAGACCTTAAGAAAACATGGCAACTTGTGTCTCTTCAAAAACCTTTGCAATGGTGGGGGGGGGGGGCGGGGGACTTTTTACAAAGTGCTTAAATTTAATTTTTGTTCCTTGTCCTTAAACGAAAATGTGTGATTGTTTAATTTTTTTTTTTTTTTTTCAGATCCAAAGTATCAAAACCTTGACCTAAGTGAAGCCAGTGTGATACATTTTTTACATTTTATTTTGGAGGGTTCTCCTTCTAGAACTGAGTATTTCCCCCTTATTTTTCATGTCAAGGCAGAGGCTTTGAATATTTTCTTGAAGAACTTTGATAATGTTGCTGTAAAGATAAAGGCCTCAGTGTGTGTGTCTTCCTAGCAGGTGATGGAGAAACATTCTACTTTCCTCTGAAGCAGTTTTCTCATTCACAGGGAATCCTCATGCATTGGGTGATATAAGGCACCATAAACCTGAAAAACCAACCAGTTGAGTACGGCTCTTTCTTTCAGAACATTTGGATTGGCAGAAAAGAATAAATTTCAGATTTCTTTTTAAGGCCATCAGACCGTTTTCCCCTAAATACACTGCTTCTGGCCTTTGGCTCCATCAGAAATGTGAACCAGTAGTAGACTTGCTGATGCCATTTTGTCACTTCCTAGCTGAGTACCTATAAGTGCCAAGAAAAAACAGAGCGTGTAAGCCGATAGGGTGGGCTGAGTGCCTGAAATGGCTTCTTGGATCTGTGCTCCAGCTGCTCTGGGGACTAGGGTGGGGGTGCTGGGGACGCTTGGGGATTCTGAAGAAAGTGAAAGCAAAGGGTTGGGAAGTAAAAGGCAACATAAGTTACTAAGTATTTCCTGTACGTATAGGATCCTCATGAATTAGAAACGGTGGTTTGAGGAATGCTAGGGGTCAGAATGTTTAATCATAAATTCAGAATAATTTAAGGATTCCATGGAGGCATCGGAAAGATCTTGTGTCCAGGGAAACTAAGAATTCTGCTAGAAATACAAATCCATCTTACCCGATCAGGTGTCTCAGGGTGGAAAGTTGGTATGCTTTATTTTTCTTGTG